GGCAGGAGTCTACTTATGGCTCTGCCAATCCTGAGTTGATTGTTACAGCTACTATTACTAGATTGGATATTCAAGGGCTCACTTTCCCAGGGACTTGGCTGGCAGCTGAAATTCCTAAAAATATTTTGCCACAATAGACCTGGAAGAAAAAAACAGCTGAAGAATCTGCTACCTTTTAAGGAATGAACACTACAGGAATTTCATCTGAAGCACTTTGTTATTTCCTTGTAAGCTGTCAGTTTAAATCTCTCTTAGGCCAAGTTCCACATCTGTCTGTTTGAAATGCTTCATAAGCTGAGGGAAGGGGAGGAGTCATCTTTTAGGAAATTCAAAGGCACACACAACTAATCCATCCATTCAGTGTGATCCAGGGATATTAGCACTTCTGCAGAGCTGCAGAGAAAGAGATAATCGTCCCTCCTGTTTTCCCTCCTATTTCCCAAAATATTTTACAGAAATACTATGTAATCGGATTATTCTGTATTAATGAGCTATCAGAGAATTAAGATACAAATTGTACAATAGGAACAGAATAGCAACATGAGATAATATCAGCAGCTCATGGGAGGGTATAGCTCAGTGGTAGATCACGTGCTTAGCATGCACATGGTCCGGGATTCAATCCCCAGTACCTCATTTTAAATAAATAAATAAATAAACCTAATTATCTCCCCCCAAAAATGTAATAAACTTTAAAAAAAGGGTTTTTTTTTAAAAAGAATATCAGCAGTTCAATATATGAAAGCAAATTACAATCAAGCATTATCCTTTTGTAAAAGGCTGGGTGGAATTTGAGAAAACTCTGACTCACAAAATGAATTTTATTTTAATGTACTGTAATGTTTTCTCCAATTGGTGCCAAATAGACATTCAATAAACACTATGTGTTAAATGAAAAGAATGGATTCATATATATCTTTATCTATAGATATTAATTGTTGATGGGTGATAGAGAAGTCAATACTGTATCTCTCAGTCTACAGTTACATTAATATAATCTCTAAATGAATATCAGACAATATTGTCAAGAATAGCTCCTATGTGTTCCATTTTATTGAAAAAAGACCTATCATCAGTAATTAGTATGTCAATTATTTGTATAGAAATAGATTTTATTGAAGTAATTTTTACACACCTAAGTACATTTAAATTTCCCAAGTATTTTAATGACCCTACACCTATGCACATATTCACACACTACACATTTTGTATTTATTCTTTTAATTTGCTAAATAAGATATTTCTATTAATACCCAAGATTTTAGCATAGCCACTTTCTGAATTATTTCAAAATCCAGATTAGTGGAGTTTGAACTAATCAGGGGAAATATAACCAAGAGGAAGATAAATATCTTTGAACTGAAAAAAAAATCAAAAAGGTAACTAGATCATATAAAAATATAAATTTTATAAATTACCTTCATGCTAAGCAGATAAAATACAGTATACCTGATACTATTCTGCATTTTTAAGGATGTACATGTTAAGCTGTATGAATACATAGAGAACTCTTCTTAATCTAAGGATGATGACTTAACCATTTCTAAACATTTTCACTTGCATTTTTTGCTTGCAAACCATTGGGGGGAAAGCAACAATTCAAAGGCAAAAATAATATACAAAAAATTACTATATTTGAAAAGAGACATCATGACCATTATATTTTTTAACCTTAGACCCATTTTCAGATTATAAATGCAAAGAAATAATATAAATAAATGGAGAACAAGTTCCATTTACTTAGGCAAATTTAGCAGGGTTCAAAGAGGTTTCATCACACATGACATTGAAATACAAGGTAGCAGCAAATTCTTATCAATAATTAATTTGCCAGTTGTAGTAAAATTATACAAAGCTGTAAAATATTATCTCTTTCTTTACAAAAAAAAAGTTGAGACATAAGGACCTGAAACTGGAAAGTATTGTAAAGCATTTCAATATCATATGGGAAGAAAAGGTTAATTCTTAACTCAGAACATTTTTTAAAAAATCAACTGAATTCTTCAAAAGTGTGTTTAAATAGAAGTAATGAAATTTAAGTTTGTAATGCATAGTAGGTATAAAAGTCAAATATGAAACTTGCTGATGGCCAAACTGAGAATTGATTCTATCTCAATTATCTTTGCTAACAGAGGAGTGAAGTGGTGTTTCTAACACAAAATAATGTATAATCCAAAATTATTTCTACTTGGCTTTAAAGAGCATTTTACTTCTTATATGACATAGTGAGTAGGATATTCTTGGGCATATAAAATAAATTCATAGAGGAGAAGATATAGCTCATTGGTAGAGTGCTTGCTCAGCATGCACAAGGTCATGGATTCAATCTGCAGTACCTCCATTAAAAAATAAATGAATAAATCTAATTACCTACCCACTAAAATAATTTTAAATAAATAAATAAATAAATAAATCCTTGTACACTAAGAAGAGGAATTCCTGTAGAGCTGTGAAGATTCCTCTTCCTTCCCATTTTATGTTTTTTCTACCGTCTGCCATTTAGAAAGAGGCATTCATGCCTTTCCCAGCTCAATCTCTTATTCACCTCTATCATCTCATTCTAGGTATAAGCAAAGGGTTATGAATTGAGAATGTTTTTTTTTCAGTGATTCTCACTGTGGTGAATCCAAGTTGTAGGAAGGGAGGCCAAGGCTCTAATCCAAGGAAGGAGGGTCCATTATCTTCTAGGAGGTGAAGCATTTATGCCAAGTAAAATTAGGAGATAAAAACCTCAAACTGGATTTTAACATGTACTATAAGACACTATGATGATGAGGGAAAAGTAATGGCCCTGAACTTTAAAAGACCTGGGTTTGGATTCCAGTTCTGCCACTCAAATTCTTTGTGACCTTAAGCAATCTATTTAAACCCACTGAGTCATGGATTGCTTACTGGAAAAAATGAAGACAATATTCATAAGGTTACTATGAAGATTAAATGAAGTGTATATAAAACACTTAGCACCCATGCTTGGTACATAATAGAAACTTAATATACATTACAGGTTCTCCTCCATAGATAAGGTCCCAAAGTTTACTCAAGAGTACATTAGCTTCAGGGCAATTATAAAAACCTTTATTTCTTTCATCCACACAGGACACATCCTCCATCAGGCCACAGATCTGATTATTTACATGGTACTGTTTCTAGGCTCTGTGCATGTACTTTAGAAGTCAAGAAATAGATTATCATTTATTGAGCACCCAGATATATTTCAGGCACTGTTATCACCCCTATATTCATTTATATGCACAGGGATGCTTTCTTCTTGGATCAGAATTTGTGTATAAATATTTAAAGTCTAAAAAACTAATTATCTAATCCCCAAAACCTGAGTCTCTTGCCGAATTTTCTATCTTAGCTAATGACATAATCATCCAACTTATAACCCAGGCTAGACATGAGTCATCTTAGACTTCATCTCCTCACTCTCTATTTTGATCAATTATCAAATGTGATTACTTCTAATTATGAAGCCACCCTGAACCTCTTTTCCACTCTATAGAATTTTCCTTAGTTCACGTCCTCAGTATTTCTCCCTTGATGGCAATCTACCCTCAAGAGCAATTGTTTTTAGAACATTCACTCAGTTACTTAGCAGTGGTTCCTCTTACCTACAGGAGATTTTTTTTTGTTTGTTTGAACAAAATTCCATGTGAATTAGCACATATAGAATTCTGAGGCAGAAGTGGGGAACCGGGAAGTACTTCTCCAATTCCATGTCAGCCTGTAAGTTCTTGGAAAGACTTTGGAAAACCACTGATCTATAGGAAAATGCCTAAATGGCTAGATGAGATAAATAAAAAGTTAGCTGCACAAGCTGGCTTTTCCCCACCCCTTCTACTCTAACTGTATTGCCTCTAAGTCTCCCATCTTAAATCTCTGCTCCAGTCTCTTCAACCTAGTTGCTATACCCCCTAATACACTAGGTTCTTTCTCATCAGTGTATATCTGTCTACATTCAGAAGCATGTTTGCCCTCTGATTCTCCATCTGTCCAACACTCTCACTATAAGACGTAGCTCCAAATCTCTACAAGCATTACCCAACTTAACAAATTGATTTAGGTGCTCCCATCTCTGTGATCATATAGCATCTTGTATGTACTTGTATTATAATCCCTATCATACTTGAATGCAATTATCAGTTCATATGACCTTCATCCTAATTCTACTGTGACAAGGATAGCTACTTATATACTTTTGCACTACCTAGGACGTAATACCCAAAACACAGTAGGTGTTTTTCAAATGTTTGTATCATTGAAGGTATAAAGCTCTCACTGTTATTGAATTCATTTTCTACCATATATAGCTTTAATGATTTTTAAAGTTTCAGCTAGAGAAACTGCAAGCTTATTTTTAAGTGTTTTGTGCACTTTTAGGTTCTTTTTTTTTAAAGAATCAAATAAGTTCAGTGCTAATTTATGCGACTGGTCATTTTAGGGGAGTACTGTTTATCATAGTGTTCGATGAAAAACAGTGAATCATTATTTAAGACAATGACTACTTGCACCTTCTTTCATAATCACAAGGGGCTACCAGGGATGATGCATCTTCCTTCTACATTTTATCCTAGTGTAAAAACATGGAAAAGATACACAGATGCCCAGAACCTTTGAAAACAAAAAGAATATTATTGAAACATATCAGTAAGCAGGTGCACTGCATCCTATAGGAGGCTTTGAGACAATGCTAGTTTGGCCAGTGACCTCCCCCTCACCCACCCTGAACACACGAAACATACATAGAGACACACAATAAGGCCTTGAAAGAGATTTCCTCCAAGGAAACAACAATTAATTTTTTAAGTCATGTACAGTTGATTTGAGTCACTGGAGTAACAAAACTGTTTTCATGAATACTCAAAAAATTCAATAATGTAACCTCTAGTAGAGCTTGAAAAGCTCTGAAGGACAAGGCAGTTAGATCAATATTAGTTTATTTCAAATGCTGGGCAGTATGAAGAGCCAAGGCTGATCATCGGATGGATTTTTATTACCTGTCGGAGTGATAAGTCCTGGAGATAAGAGGCCTGGGACTGAATGGGGCAGAAGGCGAGCATTGTCTTGCAACACTCCCAAAGAACGCTTAGGAGGCCTGCCAGGCCTTGAACTGTTGAAAAAGAGACAAAGATCAGGTTAAAATAAACTCTTTGGAAATGCTATCACTTGCTACATTCACCTAAATCTTGTTTAATTGCCAAGAGTGATCAAATTTTATATTAAAGGCTATTTCCATTGATTATTAAAAGACCAATATTTTCCTTTCTAGTAAACTTCCCAACAACGTTATGGCAAACATTAAAACCATAAAAGACTAATTTCTCATTTAGATTCCATTTATAAGCCAGCACTTTGCAATACAGCTTACCTGATGTGAGAAACCCCAAAGTTACACATTACTGTATATAAAATAAATAAATACAGCACAGGGAACTACATTCAATTTCTTGTAATGAGCTGTAATGGAAAAGAACGTATATATCTGCATAACTGAATTGCTCTGCTGTATACCTGAAACTAACATTGTATACCTGAAACTAACATTGTAAATCGACTACACTTCAATACAAAATAAGAATTAAAATAATAATAAATAAATCAATAGAAAGTTGCACCTGATCCCTGTATTAGTATATGCTAGTGAGATCTGAGACAGTGACTCGTAGAATTATCACCATATAGAATCTGAGTGATTAAGTCTCTGCCCAGCATGCCAGAGATAAGGGGTAAAAATCTGCTCTGTAGAATAAGACCTGATGTTTATTAGCACTTCCACAGCTGCTGGGAGCCCACAAGGCACAAAGAACCTTTACTCTCAGTAGGTCTTTTTTTTCCTACCTATTATTAAACCAGGCTGTATAACCAGCAGTGTATTCTCTTGGAGTGACTGTGCTAACAAAACCTGCCACCTTTGCAATCTAGACTGTCTTTTCTCACAGATTGATTGGTGTTTTTAACTGATGAGTTGAGGCTAAACTTATAACATTAACGTAACTGAGTCTATTTGCACATTCTTCATGCTGGTGTAAGCAGTTAAGAAATTCAAGTTGCAAATGTTAATCCATAACATAATAAAATAGAAAGTCAGTATCTGGCTTCCATCTTGTACCCTAATACAGTCAGTGTACTGAATGCATCATTTGGAAGCTGTCACCACAATAAAGAGACTTATAAGTCACTGAACATTAGGATCAAGTCATTCTCAAGTCACGCAACATATTTCAAATACGACTTTCTAATGTTGCCTAAGATATCGCTGTTGCTTCTCAGTAGAAATGTAGTTTACAAAGCTGAATAATAGGGATTTTGACAAAATACTGCAAAATACCATATTAAATAACCCAAGCCACGAAAATGTATGAGGTTCAGATAGAGAACATTTCCAAAAATGACTTTCTGTTCACAAAGAAATTTAAGTTAAACCTCACTCTATCAACTTTGCAGTAGCAAAGTGCTCCATCAATGTAAGACAAACGCTGCTTTTAAATGAAGGCAACCTCTAGCAACCTTACACAGAGGTACCATTACCCAGTTCATTTATCATACACTGTGCTAGTGTTATTTTCTTTCATTGTACATCAATATTGTATATCAATCTAGCACGAAAGAGTCTGTTTTTCTCATTTAATGTTTCAATTTCATAAACTGACTCTCCTCTCCCTCTTTCTACTAGATTCTGGGCCGTAATTTATTTTATTTAATTCAGGGTTGCTATCCTGTATGCCCTTGCTCTGTTTTATGGCTTCCTAACTCTTGTAAGGAATAGTGATAAGAGAAATATGCCATTTACTTCAAATGCCCTAAAGGATCCCAAGATCACTGAACAATGTTAATCAGGTTATATCCAGTCATTAGAAGAAGGTACATTATTTTGTTGAATGATCTTCACCAAATCTATACTTCCTGAGTGCTTCTTTGTGTCTTTCTATTTGTTACAATTCAAGCCTACTGACTTTATTCAAGTCCACCTGATTACTCTTTGTACTCCTTCAACATAAACATTTCAGTGCTGTCTTCATGCTCACAATCACTTTTAGACAGGCTGCCTCCAGAGGAAAGCAGCCTGACGCACCCTTTACTTTCAAGACCTGGTTGTTGACAGTATACTTTAGAGTTTAAACAGTTCTGTTCCAAATTTCTTGGTCAATTTCACGATTTGATGGAGCTCTTTTCCAATAAGCTGGCTAGGCTCAGGAGGCATTAGATTACAGGCCTCTTAGTCTGGTGGTTGTAACCTAAATTACAAGACTTATAAAATTTGGTCAAATCTCTCACCATCAGATATGTATTGAGGAATTCACGGCTAATGTCACAAATGGCTTGATAGTATTTATTATGTATGCTTTAAGCTAAGGGGATCATATTCTCTATCCTAACACTCTTTTCAGTTTATATGATGTTAATATGATTGTGAGGCTCCCCAAAATAAGGTCATGAAGGCAGCACATATGTCTGTTTTTGTCATTGTATCCTGAGCAATACTCATGGTGTCTAGCACACAGTAAGAGCTAGTAAATGTGTAACTAAATCAGTTACTAAATAATGATCAGAAATATTATTTCACCACTGCTACAGTTTCCAAATATTCCTTAGATTGCTCTATTCTTGATCACCTGAATAGAAAGTCAATTGCATCATTTAATCCTTAGGTAATCATTTTTAAACCTTGGACTCCACAACAATTATAAGAACTTCAAAAATATGATCTAATCCAATCTAACTATGTACAAGGTTAAAGAAGGGTAGATGCCACTGCCTTATCTCCGAAAGGCCCTACAAGCATCAAGGCCACTCAAGGGCTAAAGGTTCCTGGAGTTACACATGTGCAATGACAGTATCACTTATTCAATCATCCAATAAACAAACATGCACTAAGTGTCTGACACTGAAACTAGGTATCAGGGTCACAGGGGTTAAAATCTAAGCTTGACAAAGGCAAGAGTTTTGGTCTATTTGTTCATTGATACAGGGTGAGAACCTAGAACAGCTTCTGCTTTTGAGGAGCTTAAGGTCTAGTGGTAGAGATGTATTTAATCTGTTATTTAAAATGTATGATTAACTCTTTAGTGGGTCCGATTGTGTGGTACATCCTTCCAAACTTGTTTAAACTTATCAGTGAGCAAAATCATATTCAGATGACTTTGTTTATGCTCTTGGAAAGACGAGTTGGACCCCTAAAGTAAATTAATTAAGAATCAAGTTTGTTAAAGTGCTTTATGATCAAAAGAACTCCCTACTAATAAAAGATAGGTTTATTCTTACTTTCAGACCTAATGATCCTCTGTAGTAAGACAGTCCTAGCACCAAAGTTTCTGCATCTCTTTTGAAAGACCATGGAAGACTCGTAGGAAGTTGGGATAGATCATTCTTGATAGGTGATCCTACCATACTTCTTATCTGTAAGAGCTTTATTACCATCAGGAAGATATTTACATATTAATCAAGACAAATAAACATGTGGCGATTTAACTAGAAAACTGTTATTTGGATGACAATTTAATCAGCATAGGTTGAAAGGTCCATCATTGCAGCATCCTGTTTCTGCTAAAATATTGATTGCGTTACTGATTTCAGTAAGGCTTTATTTTACAGGGCACAAATAACCATGTAATTACTCTTTAATTGAATGATAATTGCTTGTTGGCAATTATTTGTTTTCAGTTTAATTATAAGGTTATTTGTACTCTGTAAAATAAAGCAGGCCCTTTTTAAAGTTCCCATCCAAATGGCTCCGTGGATATAATATCCATGAACACCACAAATGAAAGTTAAGATACAAGGCAAACAACCCCCTAAAATAGCAAAACTATTATTAAATAGTTCAGCTAAATCTTTGAGAACACTGGGTTTGTAAAATCAACATTAGGTGAAACATTTACAGCTGGTTTGGAGGGAAATAATTATACCAAACAATCATGATTTCCCTTCATTCTGTAAACTTCTTCAGAAGACATGAAATAGTAACTTAGTCTCCAGAGATTAAAGAATAAATCAAATCAAAATATGTATCAACAATATTTCATTTTTCTGCAGTTGAAGTAGATTACATTCGAGTATTAACTCAAAGTTTATAAACTTTGTAGACTTGGCAGCTCCTTAAGAAGGAAATCCAGTAGGTCTTCTGATGTCAACAAGATATGACACATTCTGTGATATATCTATTCCAATTTGCAATTAAGTAGCTGATATTTTGGTCATTAAGATTATGAAATTTCACTGTTGGAGTTATTTTTATTTCATCTCATCAGCCATTTTTATATGAAGCAAGGAGTAAGTAACTGAGTAAGGTGAGGCATTTTGTTATTTCAAAGAAAAAATGTCTTATGAATAAATTAATCAGTGATGTCATGAACTTTCAAGACATTTAATAAGTCATATGATCATCACATGATTTAGCAAGGAATCACAGTCATGAAATGACTCATCAATGAAAGCTTGGCTTCCTGCTCCTTAAAGAAATGCTCATAGCAGCCTGGGAAAAACTGAGCAAATTGCTGAGGATGTAGAGGCAGTTAAGTGTGGTATTAGCAGCAACTTGTAAAGACCACTGCAGCGGGATTCCTGAAGTGGGACCTGTTAGCAATGACCTGGGATTCACTTTTCAGAGCCATCATTGATATTGAAAATCCCCTGGGATTATCCCCAAATGTGTCATTTTTTTCAGTTACATTAGAAACCAAAAAAACCAAGAATAACGTTCGCTTTGAAGGTATTGTTTACCTAACTGTGAGAGTGCTGCTCTGACTTTCAATATGCTTGTGAAATTAAACAAGAATCTTTTTCTGTCAGAACAATGACTTTTAATTGCATCATGGATTAATAATAATCTCTTAGGTCTGACATTTATTACAACATTTCAAGGATGCCAATGGTAGTTAAACTCTACCTGACCTTTCAGTGTTTATGAAGAGAAACAAACTCTGACCTCACAGCAACCTAAATCCATCTTCTCTCAGTGTTGGCAAACTGATCAGTTGTCTAACTATTGCACTGGATTGTATTCCCAACCAGATCAAAGGCAGCAGTAACCAATTCAGCACCCGGGAAAAAGTCATCCATGCAAAATGGGCAATTAACATTAATCATATATGAAATTGTTCAAGCTGATAA